CCTGCAAGTGTATAATCAGTTTATCATGCTTTTTTTCTCTCATTCTAATTCTGGTGTCGAATACTCTGCACAGACACGCAACACTGCCCTTGTAGCTGCTGATGATGTACATTTTGTATGCTAACAAGAGAAAGAAATAGCCTTTGTATTTCCCGATGAAGGCTGAACTGCTTGCTGTATTTTATAGCTGCAGACGCAGCAAGGCTCACGTAAGACATCTGAGATGAAGTATTTTACAAAGGAGAATGTTAAAAGACAAGCCTGCAGTTCTGAAAAGTTCAGATCTGGGGACGATGTATGCCTTTGTTCTGCGTACATGCAATGTCTTACATGCAGCTTGTGTCCATTTACAACATCAATTTTGTTCCATAAAACTCCGAAGACGTAGGTAAAATCATTACATTGGGTATTTGTAACGTGTTAAATGATGCTAGGTGAAAGAAAATTAAATTAAGCGCAGTTGCCTATTTGGGGGTTTTAGAAAAACCTATTCTTAAAAAAAGTGGCACTTCCACTTCCCAGTCAAAATCCATATCCTTGTGCTTTAGTTTTGAAGGAAATGCCCATATAATTGTATAAACGTCATGTTAGGGTTACATTCGGTACATTTTTTCATCAGTAAAAGTTAATTGAAAGGACAGCTGCCAGTGTGACGTCACTTCTCATGGTACGTACAGGTGCCCCAATGGAGGCTTCTGTCTAGCGCTAATAATCTCGGCAAGTACGCCTCTACGGAACATGTCTCTTTCCAATGAGGACAAAACACTGTTTTTCTTTTATCTCTCAATGCCAAAATATGATAGACTAAATAATTACAAATACGTTTGAAACACTGCCTCCCTCAAATGCGTGCTGTCCCAAATTTGCAATTGATGATTTTGTAAAACTTTCAGTAATCTACTGAAATGTTTTATCTGATTAATCATTTTTCCTGCATTTTGACATTTGAGGCATAACACAACATCTAGGAGAAACCCTCGTGAGGTTTTGGCATCAAAATAACAAATTACCATCGACATTTTCTACTGTTTACCTACCGATTCTCTACCGAGCGCCAAGCTCCGACTTCACATCTACGTTTATAAACCTTTTCTGTTAGCTTAGTTCATGCAAGAACAGTTATGACGTGGATGCATTTTTCTTTTTCGGTAAAAACCTAATTTTGAGCAGACGCGGTGTTTTCATGACATGACAGTGACGAAAAATATAAAATCCTGGGATACAATGTATCTAAGTGAAAAATGGCGCTGGTTGTAATTTTTCATTCTGTAATTAATTTTGTCACACTTTGCTGTGGGTACAGAGTAGATGTATACACTTTGATTTTTTGAAACAGCAAAATTTTCAGTACCGTACCTTGAAGTTTAATTTTACCTGATTTAATTTCTTTCTGTTATTTTATCAGTCTTTTCGTAAACCAATCATTCATTGTGTGAAATATATATATATATATATATATGC